CTTTAGTATCCCAAAGGAGGCAGAGATAGCTAGTCTAAAATGAGAAAGTACTAAACATCAAAATGCAAAAGATCCTCATACTAGTTGAAACTCTAGTGGAGATTGATTGATCAGAAACTAATTAGGTGCTACTAAGCTGATGTTGTTCTCCCCTCAACGAAGGTAAATAGAATGTTGGCTAGGTCTCTGTGTAACACATTGAGACATTTCACTTAAGTAGTGTCATGTATGATTGACTCCCAGAAGCTTGTCCTTCTAAGCAATTGTCTTATGCTTTGAATTTAGGCACTGTGCAGATTAATCATGACTAACCTGTTCCACTTTTTGTTCTTTCTGGTGCCCTAGACCATATATTTGAACAAAAAATCTTATTCTGTTGTGCTAGAGTTGGTGGTATTAAGTAGTAAATGGTGTTTACGCCCATTCATTTGTGTTAATTTCTGCAGACCCTTATGCTGGGTTGAGCACATGTCACTCGATAATGAAACTGGATTGGATCCTTCCGGCATCAGGATCAGGCCTGTATCTGGACTTGTGGCAGCTGATTACTTTGCTGCGGGTTATTTTGTATGGGCAGTTTTGATTGCTAATTTGGCTCGCATCGGATACGAGGAAAAAAATATGTACATGGCTGCATATGATTGGAGGCTCTCATTTCAGAATACTGAGGTACACTCATGACATAAGACATCTTTCCCCATCAGCGTCTTTTCTTTTTACATGGGATGGTATGGTTTACTCAAACATGCATTCGTGCCTTCTTTTATTTAGTACAAAGTTATAATCAAGTTGCACTCACTGGAAATGTTATTCTCACACTTTTCAGTAAGTTCTATATGGAATCCATATTCCCCAAGGTCAAGTACATATCTTTGCAATGCCAATCATGCATGCACAATATGGGAAGTAGCCGGCTATCAGCCGTTATTAGATCCCAAAACTCATCTTTCTTTGGAAAAAGATATGAAAAGAACCTCTAAAATGAAGTATGATACATATAAGCTGATACTCAAAACTCAAATCAGATTGATAGATGGACTGTTGGACTGCATGACAAGCATTGAGAGATATTTTCCAACAGTAGGCTTGATGATGACTCCTATGCACAGTTATTGAGGGCTGTAACAATTTAACCAAGCCTTAATCCTAACTATTTGCAGTCTATCAAGGGCCAGTCGCTAATGGGGACGTAACAACTGAAATTTTTTCTTGCATCATTATTATCTTTCCTCCTTAATATAGTAATCTTGTCAGATGATTATTTTGCAAAAACTGGAATTGAGCAGGTACGTGACCAAAGCCTGAGCAGGATAAAAAGTAATATAGAACTCGTGGTAGCTACAAGTGGTGGGAAAAAGGTAGTTGTAATTCCGCATTCAATGGGTGCTCTGTACTTCTTGCATTTTATGAAGTGGGTTGAGGCACCAGCTCCAATGGGTGGTGGGGGTGGATCAGACTGGTGTGCTAAGCATATAAAGGCTGTAATGAATATTGGTGGACCATTCTTGGGTGTTCCTAAAGCGATCTCGGGATTGTTCTCTGCTGAGGCCAAGGATATTGCCGTTGCCAGGTTTTTCTTTAAACCAGTTCTTTGAACTAGTTGACTGAATAATAGCAGGTGGTCATCACCATAATTTGCCACCTTTTCTTTTTTGTCAAACTTTTCTATGTGATATAAGTTTGGTTTGGTAGGAAAGAAACATTGATATAATTTTGTTTTCCTGGTCTGGGTTTTAGGGAATATGAAGCATAGTCATAAATGTTTTGCGTACTGCTTGATATACAGCAGAATTATCTAAGCAAACTCTTGGAAAAACTTCATATGGGTGTTTGTTATCCTAATACACTATGTAGTGCTTAGAGTGATAGGAGAGAGTTTTCAAAGATCAAAGCCCAGTATTTTTTGTGCATACTGATGGAATCAAAGTTATTGTTCCACTGCCTTTGGAGATTCGTGAGGCCTTCATTGCCTTTATGCTTAAATTCTATTTTGATTTAAAGAAATTGCTTTGAGCACAGTCTCTTCAAAGTATCCTATCGTATTATTTTGCATTATTAGAACTTAGAAGGTTCATGGTTATTTCAGCTTTGGTTTGATATTTCAACTTTTAAATACTTGATATCAAATTTGATACAGAGAGAATTTTAAGTTAGTTGTGAATTTTTTAGTTTCTCTATTACAAATTAGCAGGAAAGAGTATTTGGACGTTCCACACTGGGCCTTAGATGGGAAATGGAAAAAGAAAAGAAGAAAGAAACAATTTCCGGGTTTAAGTAAAGATATCTTGCACGTAGAATCCCTGCTGATGTTTTGGTTATGTTGATGAGTCCCTTTGTGCGATGCATTGGCAAAAGTTATAAAATAAAACAGGTTCTAGTTTTTCTTGTGGCTCTACCAATGGAGCTGGATTTTCGTTTTGAAATGCTAGAATTTCAAGCACAAGGTACCAATTCTATTTCATTGTCAGCTCTGGAAAAACTGAGCGAGCCAGCTGTAACCCTGTTCTCTCTCTCTCTCTCTCTCACAACACACACACATCTTGAATTGCCTCTACATACTCGCTTTTCATCCCACCTTCTTGAGGCCTATCACGTAACTTTTTCATCTCATGGAACTCCTGTGAGGGTGTAATCTTACGAGGGAAATACCCCCTCTACCCAACTTAAATTGGAATCATCTTTTTTTCAACTTTCAGAGAACATGCAGAATAAGTAAAAATATGCCTTTCTTTATGGATCAAGTCCTTTCTCCTCACTATAGATTCATTTAGAGTCTTTCTCATGTGTTTGGAAACTAGCGTGGGAGAATGTTCTGTGTTTCGGAGTGTTAAATAAAACACACACATTAATCTGTATTCTTCCAGGGATTTTTCTATATTTGTAGGTATTGTGTTGCTATAAAATCTCATGAAGCCATTTTAATTTGTGAATGCCATTACATTGTCCAAATGCTTAGCCCTGATCTGTCCAAAAACTTGTGTGCATGTTGCACCAAGTATTTTGTATTGAAAAACCTTGTTAATATTGAAATGAAGATATGTTGTGCATTTCACTTCCACTAACAGACTTTGGATGAAATCCTGCTCTTGATGCAGGGCTATTGCACCAGGTGTTCTGGATATAGACGTATTTGCTTTTCAAACCTTACAGCATGCAATGCGGATGACTCGTACATGGGATTCAACAATGTCAATGATACCAAAAGGTGGGGATGCTATCTGGGGTGACCTTGATTGGTCACCAGAAGGAGATTATGAATGTAGTGCAAAGAAGTTGAAGAACAATGATACGAAAATTGCTGGCCAGAATGGGAAAGGGAGTTCAGGAAATGCAACACATGTCAATTATGGAAGAATAATATCGTTTGGGAAGGATGTAGCTGAGATGCATTCATCAAAGATTGATAGGGTGGATTTCAGGGTAATGTTTGAGCCTCAATTTTGATTGCTTAGTTTTAAAAGTATTTAACAGAAATTTAAGAGCTCTCTCTGGGGAACAAAAAAACAAATTCTTTTTGCTTTTTGTTTTTTTGCTGAAGGTAGAGCAATCAGTTTTCAATGCAACAGCAGACTGAGTTAAATGTGCAAGAACCTTTGTACATGCCTCTGATTGTTCATTTGTTCCTTTGTAGATTTCACTAGAGCTTATCGTGATACTTCTTTTTACTATCAGCTTTCTATATCAGCCTTTAACGGTATCTTCATCATGAGACTCCGTTAAATTGAGAAATACAGATGTAACGGATGCAACATGCCCTGAACTCTGTTTGTAGAATAAATAGGAGTGCAGCAACAGAAATCTCCATCATTTTAAGTAAGTGAATGGTGCAATTTTTCATCTTCTAGATAATTTTACCATCTTGAGCCAGCTTGGAGGCTGTTGTTGATCATTTTGGGTTTTGAGTGAACAAGTGGGATGGGAGTTTATGTTTTTTTATTTGGTCATTAATGAAGAATATAGACAACATGATTATAGATACAGCATGGAGGGTGAATAAGCTGTGGATTTAATGCTTGAAATGTGACTATGAGCTGGTGATTGCCAGATGCATCTCTGTGAAATAATGCCTTGTAAGGTTGGATTATTGATGCTTTAAAGAGCACAAGTTAAAAGCTGAAAGAAATTGGGCTAGTAGTTTGGGATGATTGTCACATTTGACATGATATTTGGTGTTGAGGTGATGCACCAAAGGTTTAAATTTACAAGCTTTACTCTATTCCAGTGGATTTTGCCAAGTATTTTGGTGTGGTTGCAAAACAGATTGCATTAGAACCCAATGTTGAAGTGTTTCATTTATTAACTTTCAATTTCTTTTATTTTCTTCTCTTGGAATTGGATACGTAAAGGAAAAATAAACATTCACTTGCAAGTGAGAGAAGGGCTACCTCTCCAACCAATGTAACCTCCTTTGATAAGCAGGTACTTCAGCCAAAATCCTAACAACTGAATACTAGGTTAGATAAGAGATGGGTTGAATCTAACGTATGTATCATATGCAAGGAAGACGTAAATATGTGGACCAGCATTATAGTGCCATGATAATGTTTACAACCTTCTGTAGCAGATAATTGTATTGCTTGTATGTGCTTGATGCTTTCAACATCTATGAGTACATATTGGTTCTGCGTGAGGTCAATAATGCAGAGCATATAAGGAACATGCTTTGGGCCTCCTATATTCAAGTCTCTGTTCAATTTTGAGTCCAGTTTTATGTTAGTTTAGGTTAGTAAGTTTGGTTATGTACATTACAATTGCAATTGCTTCTGCATTCGGGGACAGCTGAGGTTTAATATTGATTCATTCATCTTATTAAGAAGATGGCATTGGCTTAAATCATTACATAATAAGTCATTGCCATGCATCTTAAAGCCTCCCACCTTGTCACTCATTTAAGCTTTACATTGTATGCCTTAAATCTCTTTTTAGGTATTTCACTCTTGTCTGCAGGGTGCTATTAAGGGTAATAACCTTGCAAACACAACTTGCCGTGATGTATGGACTGAGTATCATGATATGGGCATTGGGGGAGTCAAAGCTGTTGCAGATTACAAAGTTTATACAGCTGGATCGATTTTGGATCTGCTTCATTTTGTTGCTCCAAAGATGATGAAGCGTGGTGGTGCTCATTTTTCCTATGGAATTGCTGATGATTTGGGTGACCCAAAATATGGGCATTATAAATATTGGTCAAATCCTTTAGAAACAAAGTGAGACCCTATCGTCTTTTCTTTCTTATTTCAAACTATCCTTTTATCTTGTGATTCTTCCCACCTTCGTTTTTTGCCTCTCTACCCCCTCTTTTTTTTGCGTGCGTGTGTACACTCTCCACCTCTTGTTTCAAAAGACTGCTCAATGTCGCTTTGGTTTGGTTATTGAGAGAACTATCCTGTGATCTTCTGAAGGTTAAGCTTCCATATATGTTCTTTGCATGTAGATGCCCTAATCAGAATGAGTAGCTTGATGCAAATGAAGCAAGTACCCCGCCCCTCTCCCTCCAAACGAAAAAAACACAACACCACCATTTTTCTCTACTGTTGGTAGCTGCTGCCTGTCCTCCCTTTTTTCCTCTTTTGGGGAGGTGGGGTTTGGAGATGGAAGTGGATTTGGTTGTTTAATATTTGGTCAAATTAGATGTGTATGGAATGTTCTCTTTTTTATTATTTTTCCTGTGATGTTTTTGCAGATTACCCAACGCTCCGGCCATGGAGATGTTTTCAATGTATGGAGTTGGAATACCCACTGAAAGAGCATATGTTTACAAGTTTAGTCCGGCTTCTGATTGCTACATTCCTTTCCAGATTGATACCTCAGCCGAGGGTGGAAACGAGGGCACTTGTTTAAAAGGTGGAGTCATTTCTGTTGACGGAGATGAAACCGTTCCTGTTCTGAGTGCAGGTTTCATGTGTGCAAAAGCCTGGCGTGGTAAAACCCGATTCAACCCTTCAGGCATCCGTAGTTACATAAGAGAATACAATCATGCTCCTCCAGCTAATCTTCTGGAGGGCCGGGGAACCCAGAGTGGTGCTCATGTTGATATAATGGGGAACTTTGCGCTAATAGAAGATATTATAAGAGTAGCTGCAGGGGCTACTGGAGAAGACTTGGGGGCAGATCAAGTTCACTCTGATATCTTCAAATGGTCCGAAAAGATTGAGATAGACCTGTAGATTGCAACTGGTGAGTCCTGAAAACATGTAGATATGATGTCTTTTTCAATAATTTTAGTAGTTCTTAAGTGATGAGTTCAGAAATCTACATTTTCAGACAACTGATACTGCCATTTGTGATCCTTCATGAAATAGACTGACTCTTTTCCCTCACGGTCATGTGCTTCAGGGCACAGCTGATAAATTATGTGGACACAGTTGGTGAAAGCTCTAAATGAAGCAGTGGTTGTGCCGGTGTATCATAAAAGATGTACAAAGGCGTCGAGCTTTCTGGTTCTCACATGTATTTATGAATCATATTGTCATGGGAATCAAGCAAATTGGCATCCCTCAGTGTATCACGACTCTTTTTCTCGGAGACGTGTAATTTTAAAATTTGCCAGATATTTTGGATGTTCCTGACCCAAAAAAAAAAAAAAGAAAGAAATTTTGGATTTTGCTTTATCCATTCATGCATCTAAATGTTCAGATTCTTCTATACGTTTTGGTTTTGGAAACTCTTCATGGAAATGGTGGCTGGCTAATGAGAGTGTTTATTAATTTGGCATAGCACCGACGACAAACATTCCCAATCTTTTCCGCAACGAAATTGTTGGGATTTCACACGATTTAAATCCACTAACAAACACACACAATCGAAGAACAAATCAAGAATATAAAACAATAAGAAACAAGAAAGAACAAGACACAGATTTTACGTGGTTCGGCAATTTGCCTACGTCCACGAAGCTGCAGGGATTTCACTATTGAGAGAGTTGAATACAGAGAACGGTTGTACCATCCACAATTAACCCTAATCACCAAAACAACAGGGTTTATATGTCCTACGCACTGGGCTGTATAACGGGCCCAAAAAAATTTTCCTCGGGGGCGTTGCCCCCGAACCCCCACGAGGCTTGTCCATGAGCGCTACGGCTTGGGCCTATCGGCCCAAGCCTTCGCTCCATGGATTAAGCCTCAGAAAATTTTCCATTAAAAACCACACAACATTATTTCGGGTCGGGTCATCATCCGGATCGCATATACAAACTAGACTCCATAAAAATAAACCAACAGAAATGGTTTCTGTGAAGCAAATTGGTGAATATTGAAATGTACTAGCACATGCTGAAACAGGGCTGTGGTGTCCCTGCCATGTTACGACAACATTTGCTTAAGTTGTAACTAATCCATGTATAATTGGGTTTGTGTTATGTATAAGCTGTGTTTAGGGACGGACCATGTTTAAGCTTGTTAATTTCTTAAGTTCGGATCAATGGTGACAGAGATTCGTTTAGACAGATTGTGAAAATCAATGTCAAACCAAATTATAAAAGCACTCAAATAATCAAAAGAATATTTCATGCTCTAATTGCTACTCCATAATTAGGACACAAAATTAAGTTCAATTCAGGTTTAAAATTTGAATTACACAGTCTAGATTAACAAACTCGCGTTAAATTCCACGTCTCAATCCAAATTGCATTTCATGTATAATTGAGATTTTATTGGATTGAATTCAAGATATTCAAGGTGGGTCACCAAAATTCTTTTTTTCCTCGATATATAGGCTTGTGTTGATTATTCTTTCAAGGTCAGCGTATTGTCACCGTGATTTGAATTGGGTTAGAGTATGTCTCTAAAAATATGGGGATGACTAATCTTTAAAGGGTGTGAAAAAAAATTGAATTTGAGATCTCTGGATTACCAAAAATTAAACTCGACCATTGAACTATTTCTAAGAGTTTGAGTCACGAGAATTCCAAAACAAAATTACAACCAAACATATTTTCTGTCCCACCTTTTTTCAAAAAAAATAAAAAGGAAAAATTTCAACCACATTCCCTTTAATTTACCATATCTTTAAGGACGCCCCCTATATTTTCTGAATCTTCAATGACACTCACTGTCAGATTAAAAATATTAATTAGAATACAATTTTACTAAATTGTTCATGATATATTTAAAGACAAATTTCATTCACACCCCCTTTAGATAAGCATATCTTCAATGAGACCCCTCTCTAGATAAGTATATCTTCAATGAGATCCCCTCTATTTTTTAATTTTTTTTACGTATTAAAATTCAAGCCGATTAAAATTAATTCAAGTTAATTAAAATTTATTTTTTTACATATTAAAATTTAAGCCAATTGAAAATTATTTTTTTTTTGCATATTAAAATTTGGGCTAATTAAAATTTGATTTGAGCCAATTAAAAATTATTTTTAATAGACTCAAATCAAATTTTAATCAATTTGCACTGAATTTTAATTAGTCCAAATTTTAATATATAAAAATATATAATTTTTAATTGACTCAAGTTTTAATATATCGAATTTTATAAGTAAAAAAATATAAATTTTAATCGGAGCTAACAACTTGGGTAGAATTCAAATCGGATCAAATTTTAATAGACTCAATTTGTTTTTTAAATTTATGAATTAGTAAATAACAAATTAGTATTTACTAACAAATTATTTATAAATTTTTTTAAAAATTTTAACAGCTCGAATTTTAGTAAAATTTTATGTAGAAAAATTACTTGAGGTTTATGTAGGGGTATTTTTTGTATTTTAGATGAATTTTTTTGTTAGAAATAATAGGGGGTGTCAGTGATATTTAAATTAAATTAGAAGAAATGTCAGTGATATTTTTAATAATAAAGGAGATATCTTTAAAAATATAATAAACCAGGAGTAGCGTGGCCAAAATTTTTCAAATAAAAACGTTTCTAAACGCAAAAGTTTGGAGAATCCGCCGAAATTCTATCCCCAATTCATAGGGCTAGTACTAGACTACTGGTAGTGCCCAAAAAAACCTATCTTGTCTCTTTTGAAAACGCAAGACAGATATTGGGAAAAGTCAAAAGATGGGGATCCGAACTTTGAATTGGTCTGCCTTGATTGTAACTGGACCATTATTTGTCTCTTTCGGTGTCGTTTTGTCATTCATGAATTTTTTTTTTTTTAATCAGGAGATAATGTTGTTCGAATTCGTTATCTATTTAAAAGGGACAATGGTTATTTGGTCAATTATTAAATTTTTATTGTGTGTTTGATTTAAGTATTAAAAAAAATTAAATTAGATAAATCTATTTATTTCATACTCATTCATCTTATTCTTGAACTAATTTTATAATAATAACATCTCTTTATTATATATTTGGTTCAAATATTAAAAAGTAGTGGGTTCCATATATATTTCATTTAATATTTTATTTTGATAGAGTATTGAATGATGGTATAAATAATAAATTACTAAAACACCCTCAAGACAAATATTGATATTTTTATCCTAAATATTCTTGAGGGTAAAAATATATTTTTGCAGGAATTCTTTCAACCAAAGTATTTAAACCCACTAAATAGGTGGATTTATTTATTTAAGAGACTATTATGTGAGTTTAGAAGCGTCATTCACCTGAGTCGATAGTATTTTTAGGTAATAATATGAGTATAAACTTTTCATTTATATATTCAAATATGAGTATAAGCGAGATAAAGTACACTCATACATATTTTCTCTAATCACTCTTTCTTAATAGTAAAATCAAACACACCTTAAATGTATTAAAAAATAATACGATATAAAATTAAAAAATTTGTGTATTCTTTAAACTTTTCATTTTATAAATAAATGAATCTAATATAATATAATTAATAAATAAATTAAATATATATTAAAATAATTAAAAAAAATTCACGGCACAAGTCACTGATTTTATACCACACGTATTACTACATGAATTGAATATAAATGCATTACTTTGTCATTTTTGTGACCGAAAGGCACCAAATTCCACCGGACTCCCAATTCTTGCTCTATGCTAATAGGCATAGGCCGCTAGATTCCAGGCCCTAATGCTAATCTTCGAGGACGAAGGGGCACAACAAAACATAGCCCCCAACTGTCACATCTATTTACCAAACTACCCTCCCCTCTTTAAATTTTTCCTTTTATCCAATTCTTTCTAAGTATTAAATAAAATAAATAAGTGACTTAGAAAATAAAAGTCCCTTTCTCACAACCATCAGCCATTCTCCATCCCACTATCAAACAAAGATATCGGATGCATCCATGTAGAGATATTCTAAGTATACATGACGAATTGAGGTGCCATATTACTGATTCAATTGAAAAAAAATAGTAATTCTATTAATTTATTTCGATATGAAGAAATTAAATTTCACCTTTATCCTTAAAGACTAATAATTAAGCCAAGTTATTTAAATTCGGCTCAAATAGAACTTGATTCAAGCTCGACTTGTGTAACGAGTTGAATTTGAATAATTTTTTAAACTTATTTAAAAAACGAGCCTCAAAAAATTTAATTCAATCTCACAAAACTCGACTCGCCTATATATAAAACAATTGAGCAACTTGGGCTCTGCTCGGATTTGAATGAGCTGCATTTATTAGGCTTGTTTAAAAAAATGAGTTTAATAAACTTGATTCGAATTTGTAAAACTCAACTCAATTATTAGTCCTATTTGTCTTTTAAGAACATACTCTAACTCAATTCAAATTGCAGTGACTAACTGCCGAAAAAGATCCAGCCTATTGAGCAGACATTATTATAAAAAACAGTGGATCACGAGGTTTGAATCCGTGATTTTAAAGTCCGACGATAGATTAGCGATCATTAAATTAACCTCAAACCTCGTCTCTATCAAAATTCAGGGTAAAGTAATTAGAATCAGGGGCATTTTAGAAAATAAAACAAAAAATAGTGGTCGTCCGAACAAAGAAGTGTCGCTATTCAACTCGTCAGGGGAACTGGATACGTAGCATTATCGAAAATAAATTGACTAAAAAGGGTAAAACTACAAGAAAACTAGAGGTATTTTAGGCTCAATCTCATGGAAGAGCGTGAACGTCACTACCTATAAGGGTTAATTTAAACCACCACAGGGTTAGCGCGTGAGGTATAACATTGCACAGCAAAGGGCGGCTAACAACTGTAGTGAGCCAACAAGGCCGAGGTAGTGAAGGGGTTTCTCTGTCTGTGTTTTTTCGTCT